AGCATCACCCAGAAGTCAGAGAGAGATTTCTAGAAACTTAATGACTTTTGTCCTGGGTAGTAAATGAACACCATTAAATCATCAAGTAAACTGCTATTGAAAAAGAAGCATCATACAATTGCTTTATCTGTTTTTTGCATACCTCAACAGAATATTGATTTATTTATTCCTATTTCAGCCTTTCCCCCCCATTATGTAAAGTGTGTGTGTGTTGTATTCAATTTAATATCCAGAACACAACTAAGAAATTAAGGATGTACAAAATTTCCTTCATTCTTGGATGATGAATGATGAGAAGAACCTGCTGGATCAGAAGAAAGACTTGCGAGTCCAGCCTCTGGTTCCCCTGTGTCCAATCTTGTGCCTAAGGGAAGATGACAAGCAGGACATGGGCTCAAGATCCCTTTACAGATGCTGGTCTTTTTGTCTGCCTTCTGAACCTCTCACCATTCAGGTTCCTGATCCTAGAATACATTGTTAGAGGTATCCACTTTCTCCATGCGTAATTTTAAAACTCCCTATCATTTGCCTTTTACATTCCTTAAACTATAAAGCCTCAAACTATGTCTTATTTGTTTGCTTTCATCATTTGTATGCTGCCTCATAACACCTAGGGCAGTTGCTTCAGTCCCTGATAATTCAGGTTGGTTTTTCCCCCAACTCTACAGTAACAATTTTTGAGATGTGGTGACCAAAACTGTACATAGTATTCCAGTGTGGTCACACAATATATTTGTATAAAGGCATTACAATATCAGTAGTTTTATTCTCATTTCACTTTCTAATGATCCCTAACATATAGCTTGCCTTTTCATAGCTGCACCCCTGGGTTGACATTGCCATTGAGGTCTCCAAGACGACCCCAATATCTCTTCCTTAGTCAATCACTGTCAGTGTATATGTATATATGTGTAGCTAGGATTTTGTGCTCCTATGTAGATCGCTTTACACTTGCTCACATTGAACTACATTTGCCTTTATAATCCCCAATCACCCAGTCTGAAGAAATCCTTTCAGAGCTTTTTATAATCTCTTTTTGTTTTTGCCACCCTGATCCTTTGGTAGTATTGGCTCAGGAAACCCACAGTGGAATTTGAACAACTTCATTTGGTTCCCAAGTAGGTTTCAAACAGTGCTCTTTCCCCCCTGGTGGTACTCAAAGGTACGCAGTACCACCATCTTTTTTTCTAGCAGGAAAAGTACTGGTTTCAAATAATTTCATGTGAGTAGCAAAATAAACATTACATGGAGATGTATGTAAGTGAGGACATACCCTTCTCCCCAATTGAAATAAAACCTTAGGAGAGTGCAAAATTTAGCAGAAATATGAAAGTAGGCAGAGCAGTATGCCTCTCCCTAGTTTGTTCTACAGACAGTTTGGACAATTCCTCATAGGATACTTGATTACAGAATGATAGAAGTAAACTATCTGGAATTCTAGGGGAAGATTGGGGACAATTTAGTTTGGGTAAATTGCTGCTAATGAGAGGGTTAAAAAAAACCTTTCCCACTCTTTCTTTTCATACTACTCTTGCGTTAAACTGCTTTTCAACTACAAGGGCTTTGGAGATTTCCTGACATGCATGTGGGCATAGGATAGGTTCTGTGTTGTTTTATATGCACAATACACACATACATGTTAGTGAACATGTGTATATATCCTACAAGGATCCTTCTGGCAGGATTCCTAGTCTAGTTTTTCTGTAGGTTGTGTCATTGTTCCTATCAAATTATGCTCAGTTTCTACCTGTCTGTGAGCATTACTCAGCGTCCCACGAGACTGTTTATTTCTATATGTTGAGGAATGTTTATATTCCATGTTGAGGAATGAGAGCGGTATTGGCCACTGCTATAAATCCTGAATCTGCTTTGATGTTGTGGTACTTTTATCATTTTTCCATGAGGCAAGGCAAGCCTTAACATGATCCCCACTGAACCCAATGGTTCTGGTGGCAGAATAGGAGGGGAGGTGAATTGTATGTGCCCCAACTCTGCACCCACTGCCCACAAGGCTACGCATGAGGTGTAACTGACAGGCCAGTCGACTGCTACTGCACCTACTCAGAGGGGCCTTTCCTCAGAACAAGGCAGTGTGAGGAAGGTCACCCATGGAGCACTTGTGCTGTCACCATCATTTTGCCACAATGGCATCCAATGACTGTATCAAGATCCAAAATTTTAGCAATTACTAAAATAGTCTGAAAAGAGTTTGATGCCACTGCAGGAAGGCAGTGGTGCAGGTGCCTGATGAACTCTCCCACAATGCCTCATGCTCCGGGGGCAGCCTCACCCACAATGCCTCACTCTGAGGAAGGGCCCCTTCGAATGAAGCATGGAGGGTTCGTTCTGCTGTCTTGTCAGCACTGAATGGGTAGGGGTAGGAGAAGATGAGAGATGTAGTTGAGGTCAGGAGGCAGTGATGAAGAGGTGAGGTCCCCATCTGAGGTGGAACAGTGTATTGTGCTGGAACTGCTATAAAGTGAAAAGTACTGGTGTCTGAATGCACAAATCCTTGCACAGGGGAGGGGGAGAGACTGGTGGTGGGATACACAGCACCTTTTATAGTCACTGATAATTGCGCACAGAGGCTGTAAAGACCAGAAGATAAAATTAACAAGTCTTTCTCTGCTCCTTTATAGATGAGTACATTGAAGAAGGGAGGTAAAATAATAATAATAATAATAATAATAATAATAATAATAATAATGGAATGCATCCTGCTGAAGCACTGAGAATTATGCACAGAGGCTGCACAGAGCAGGAGGTTAAAGTGTACTAAATAGGGGAGCGCATAAAAGCTGATCTTTGTAGTCAAAGATGGCACAGAGCAGGGAGGGGACTTTGTAACAAATATAACCATATCCCTACAGCAAAGGGTCTTCTTGGATGTGCGGGAGGGATGAGAAAAAGGATCCCCTACTCTTTGGGACTAGCTGACAATTCATGAAACTTAAACAAGATGTTATTCATTTTTCAAATAATAAAAAAGAGAAGAATAACATCACAAATGGCAACAGATGTCATGGTGAGCACAGCATGAATGGCAATGTACACATAAGGATCAGATGCCTAACACAGATCCAATCGCAATGAGAATATCCTAGAGGGGCACGCAGTTTCATGGTTCTTAACCATGGTAACAAAAATCACATGTGGAAAAAGCATTTGCAGTGCCCAAATGACATTAGCACATGAAAAGGAAGAGATCCAAGTGATACCCCATTAAGTGTAAAATGACCTTTACTTCCTTCCAGTCCTAATCTAGGCTCTCTATCTGACATGTCATATCAATTTTATCCTAATTTGTTTTTTAATGGGAAGGGAAATACATAAAAATTATGTGTTATATTTTTGGTACAGACTCCTTAGACTTTCACAAACATTCACAAGTCTCTGAACCCAGGAAGAATGTGGTTGCTCCGACAGATTTCCCCTGAGTCCTTGGCTCTCGGTCATATACTCAGGGGGACTGACCAAAGCCACAAATATCTTAGCTAAAGCAGAGGACATGCCAGACAAAAAAACCCCTCCCATTTATTTTGCAAAGAGTGTCCATAAAAAATGTTAGTATAAAACATATTCTGAAGCCTGTTTATTTTGGAGGCTTGGTGTCTTAATGTTCTATCCTAGGTCAATATTTGTGGTACTATAAAATTGCTATTGCAAAATGTACAGAACAGTGGAAGATAAATCATTATTCTGCATTACTCTGAAGAATTCTGGCATGTTTTCGTTTGTTTATTGGAGGAACAGCTTGAGGCAGCAAGTGAAAATTTTTAAATTTGTCCCTTGATTCTGCCATTTCTGGAGTTTGGACTTACAGCAATCTTCATTTTATGGATCAGTAACCCTGAGCAGATACTGTGATTAACTTTAAAGATGCTTACTGGGAAGAGCTGACAGACACATTTTCAACCTAGAAAATGGACTGGAAATACAACACAAAATATCATAATGCGTTTAATTATTGCATCTATGGTGCACCTGCATTTCATATACTATGGTCAGTTTTTATTACCGAGTCCCAAGAAGAAAGTCATAGAGAAGGGACAGAAAAAAGGAATAAAGTTGGTCAGATGGTGACAACATCTAAGGTAGACTAATGATAGGCATTTATATTAGTGTTAGTAGTGTGGAGAGAATGGATAGAAATTCACCAAAATGGACTGGTTGACAGTGGGTTCAGAACAAACAAAATGAAGCATTCCTTCACACATTTTTGCCATACTTCTAAAGCACTAACAATTTGCTGATTATTAGTGTTGGGGAAGCCTTGTCTACAGTGCTTCCCAAGTGACAACAACCAGCTGAGAAGTCAGCACTTGGAAGTGCTGCACAAGGGGCTTTGCCTGCAAAGTCTCTTTTGTCCAAGTCCTGCTTTTTACCTGACCACACCTGGTAACATATATAACTTTAAGTGTAGGGCAGGAGGGTGTGGCTTGGCTGAAATGGCTTCACAGGATAAATAAAGAGGTCTGGTGGGTCTTATGAAACCTGCAGATTGGAAGATCCCCAGTCCTACTAGATACATTATAAAAGGTAAAAAAGGTAAAGGACCCTGGATGGTTAAGTGCAGTCAAAGGCAACTATGGGGTTGCGGCACTCATCTCTCTTTCAGGCTGAGGGAGCCAGCGTTTGTCCATAGACAGCTTTCTGGGTCATGTGGCCAGCATGACTAAACCAACAGAATACTGTGACGGAAACCAGAGTGCACGGAAACGCCATTTACCTTCCCGCTGCAGTGGTACCGATTTATCTACTTGCACCAATGTGCTTTTGAACTGCTAGGTTGGCAGGAGCTGGGACAGAGCAACAGGAGTACACCCTGTTGCGGGGATCTGAACAGCCAACCTTCTGATTGGCAAGTCCAAGAGGCTCAGTGGTTTAGACCACACTATAAAACATACGGTAGTCGTCTCCATCATGCCTTGCTTTTGAGCTTCCCAGGGTCTTGTGGCTGACAACTGTTGGACTAGATGAACTCTTTTCTTTTCTTTTTTAGATTTGGCAAGGAAACTCTTATGTATGTAGTCTAGGCACCAGATTAACACTTCCATTGCAGATGTAAATTTATATGGTCTACTAGATGCTAAAGGAAAATATTTTAAATCATTCAAAACCACCAAGTATTTGTGGCTTAGCACAGAGCATATGCAGGTGGGAAACACATTATAGGATTCCTTGTACAACAACATGATACCTACCTAGGCTATTATACTTGTCCTTGTTTAGTGTACCTGATCTGCTATGTTCTTCAGCATGTCTGAAGCTTTTACAGAGTTAAATGTTTAAGTTATTTACCCCACATATGCAAACAATAATTTTTATTTCCTGCTTAAGTTTTGCTATATGGTTAGTTATAATTCACAAGTACTCATGAGTAATTCTGCAGCCCTCCTGGACTAGACATTAAAAATGAGTATTTAAACCAGTTACCTCTATTTTAAAAAAACCCTGTTGTCATTGGTCTAGTCTAAGGTATCCAAATTAACTGATATAACAGTTACAGTTATATACATACAATGTGTATATATGCATGTATGTGTGTGCATCTAAATATCTATATACAATTAGCAATCCCCCTTCTTTTTGTCAGCCGTCCATATTGTGTCAAAAAGTTGTTACACTTTCCCCTCAACATATGCCATACTTTAAGACGATCTAAAATCAGTTCAGTTGCCTTACTAGTATTTGATTTTTTTACTTTGGCCACTCTCTAATATAAGCTGCAGAATGGGAACCTCCCCTGAATAGGCTGCTGGTTCGTTGTTTTAGGCATTTCCAGCCTCTCTCAGGAACTGGGTTTCTTCCTTTAAACAGCAATTAGCGCGCGGGGGCGGGGGGCAGGCTTTGGGGAAACATGCATTTGTCCTAAAAAAAGCAAACATTCTCAGACCTACAAAGATAGCCACCACTGCTCCATGCTGGGACCAGGGCTAATTAAGATGTTGATGGAGTCTGCACTAATCATGGCTCCACCACAGTCTGCTGGATTAGCATGTAAATTGGTAAACCATGTTCTGAAATTGCCTCACCATCTGAGGTCTAATTACTGGCTAGACATAACAAACAATGGCTGCATTTAGAATAAGAAGTGTCCATGTGAAAATAGATGTTTTTGCTTTTTTAAAAAATCATGAGATAGGCTTGAGCATGGGTAGGCAAACTAAGGCCTGGGGGCCGAATCCGGCCCAATCGCCTTCTAAATCCGGCCTGTGGACGATCCAGGAATCAGCATGTTTTTACATGAGTAGAATGTGCCCTTTTATTTAAAATGCATCTCTGGGTTATTTGTGGGGTATATAGATTCGTTCATTCCCCCCCCCCCAAATATAGTCTGGCCCCCCACAAGGTCTGAGGGATAGTGAACTGGCCCCCTGCTGAAAAAGTCTGCTGACCCCTGGACTTGAGGGTGGAGAGAAGCATGTTGTGGAAAAGAGACATAAATTTGCACGTGCAGACACACATTATAAGCAGTTTGGTTCATAGCCATGATTCAGTGGACTCAAGACACTAAGTAAGGCAAACAGCACACAGCTGAGGACCAGAAGCTACAATTGCCTTATCTCAGCTTAATATATTTGTCAGCATTATCCCAATGACAGCATCTTCAGTATAAACTTTCTGTATTTTAGTTCTACGGATCTTGTTGGGACTTTACAAATTTAGTGATGAAACAGCAATATAGCATTTAGTCTCTGTAGTGTGATGTCATGTTTTGTCGCAAAAATACATAGCAATCTGGATGAATGTATAAATGAAGCACAAAAGGTAAAGGAAGTAGTACAAAATCCTGCATGATTTTCAAACATCATAATCACAACAAATAACAAATATTATACCAAATGTACAATATCAAAATTGGCAATGCACATTGGTCCCAAGTTCATTGGTGCAATAAAGATTACTAAATACTTCAGAACACATAGCAGGAGGTAGATTCCTATAACTATTTTATACCTGTAATACAATTATTTTCCCCAATCATCTCTTAATAATATATATCTGTAGGAAAGTCTTATGAATGGAAGATGCACTCACTGATTCTTGACTATAAGCAAATTATCTTCAGCTTGAAACACCATTCTTAATCTTACAAATGTCACTAGGATTAATCAAAGCAAGATTTGAAAAATAAAATAAAATAGGGGATATTGTCGATATCCATTGATTGCTAGAACGCAACAGAGACTGCATTGTTTTGAAGTAAAGGAATTAGTAGGTTTGACGTGCATATGATTCCCTGAAATAAAGAAACAGGACTCAAGAAAAAAAGGCATGTTGCAAACTTTACTGAATATATTGCAAATTGAACTGGCCTAAAGCAGGTTCCCTGTGGTCTATTTCTAATGGAAAACCTTTCTACCAACCCACAATGCACAATTTATTAGAAACATGTTTACAATTTACCAAAGACAATTTATACCCTCTTGTTTCTATCTGGGGCAATGTGAACATTCAGATTTTCAAAATGTATCCACTACTGGCTTTGGTCTGCTGAGACTGGTGTGAATCAATAGTACATTTCCAACCATTTTTCTGGAAAAGGTTTCACTAACTAATGCTGCCTGAAAACCCCAACCCTATACACTGGGCATGTAGGTCACGAAAGCTACTTAGTAGTAGCTATTTGATGTGTGTTCAGTCTCCCATCTCCAGTACAGGAGCAGATAAATTGCCTTCTAAATGGGATATGAAATCAGAGAACACAACAGGCATTAACTCTGATCTCACTTAATCCATTGTAAATCACAAATTGTTCCACTTACTGAGGTCACAGCAATACTGAGCAGATTTCTGAGAATGCCTAGACAAGAATGATAGAAATGGAGGCTTGCCATTGGCTGTCTCAGAGGCTGTGTTTTTGTAGGCATTACAGGGTGTTTCTTGTGTTTAGCTGCCAATACCAACTGCCTTCCTAGCATTCTAAAAGGAATCAGCCTTTAACAAGCAGCGTGAGAAAAATGTCAAAATTCAACTGCATCTGCTATAAAATAGTAATAAGAGTTGAATATACTTTTAACATGCAACTCCGAATGAATTCTACTGCCAGTGCTTCGGAGCCTCAAAATAATTGAGAGAAGCAGAAAATATCCTGTATGCAAAGACATATCTTTCTCTGCTTTAATCAGACTGGAAGAAAAGCATATTTTATCTCTCCCAAAGTGCCATTGACTTGTATACCTGGGGAAAGGTTGCAGAGAATAATCACTGCTAGTCTCTGGCACTTCTCTCTGCAGGACTGAGAGCATGAATGGGCTTGCCTAGTGCAGGGATCGCAGCAGGTCACAAAAGTGAAAAGTGGCTTCTGAGATAACACAACTTGTGAAACGATTCCATAAGGTACTACTCTGCATCCTTAAATTCACTTTCAACCAAAGGCACCCTGATTACTTATCACAATGGAGCAAAAAGCAAGCAAACTGAACTATAAACAATCTTCCTATAAACTATAAACAATTGCTTAGTAACTGATGTAATCCATGTTTGCTTTATTTAAATTCAGTTGCATGGTTTGTAACTTGTTTCACTTGAGGCCCGAACTGGGAATTTATAGTGTTGGTCCATAATCTAGTATAAATTAGTTCTTGGGTGCTTCTATCCTCTTGGGTCACAGAAGCAGAAATAGAAAGGCTATGTCTACAAGCAGTAGCCATAAGGACCAGTAAGGTAGCAGAGGGCAGGAGGACACCTCAATTGTTTAAAGTCTTGTGCATTTCACAAAGAGATATGCATTAGATCAAAGAGATGAGGAAGCAAAGAGAGGGAATACAACAAAAAGAAAAAGCTTCCTCTTTCACAGTCAATTAGAGATGAAAGGAAATCACTCTTCCCAGCTGTGCAAGAAAGTAGCAGTTGACTAAAAACCTAAGCAGTCTAATTTAAGGACAGTGGTGAGTGAGCCCCTTTAAAAACTACCCTTGTAGTTGGGGTCAGCTGATGACATTTGGCTGCCTGGGGTGTAGGATAAGATGGCACCCTACATTCTACATAAGGAGATGATTACTTCAGCATGGGCTCCACCACAGCTGAAGCCAGGTCATTATGTCCCCCATTCCCAGGGGGCTCAGGAGACGCAGGACAGGGGACAAGGCACCCATAGCTTTGTACTCCAGGCCCTTGCTGCCACTCCCAGGCATTGGTCGCCTGAGGCAGCTGCCTTACTCTGCTTAATGATAGGGCAATGTCTATAGTTAACTTTTTAAACATGCTTTTAGGACTATTCTTCAACTTCTGCACATGGTAGTAAAACATAGAACAATCCAAGATGCTCACATATTTGTGTACATGTGTGGGCGTACCTATCCCTCCCCCAGTGGACCAAGTCTGAAAGGTGGATGAAGCTGCCTACCCGCCAATCACTTGACTTCACAATGATGTCAGATCACCAGTTTTTGCCCATGAAGCTCTGATGATCAGCTGACTGTCAAGTTGTTGTAGTGCCCTGTGCACAGGGTTTCACAAGACCTAGTGTTTGCAAGACCGAATGACCAGCTCTGTTTAAATAGGGGGTTAATTTGGCAAAGGTGATTCCAATGCTACCCTCCTATCTTTATATTCACCTGATTTTGTACATACTTTATATTAATCCCTATAATAAATATATTTTTGTGGTTCTTGTTAGTGCTTGTTTAAGATCTGTCAGAGTTGCGATTCAGGCTGCATACACAAAAATAGTGTTTATATGCATATATGAGTTGAACTCATCCGATTTTAAACTGAACTCAATCTTAGTGTTTCCCACCTACACTACTGGGTTATGTCTGATGAGATGCATTGCTGTTCAAGTTTTCCCATTTTACATCACTCAGAAGACAAAACATTTGTAAGCAAACTACTTACTCATTCACTTCCCACCATTCATCTGAAAAGGTAAACCCAACTTCATTCAACTTTCATTTTGAATAAAAATGTTGAATAGATCATATTTTTCTGGTTATAATCATATGCAGTATTTTTAAAACATAATAAAAAGCAGCAGCATTTGAAAAGTGCAGAATTAAAGAGAACTTCTGGCAGAGCTTCCAGTTATCTGAAAGTCTGATCTGCAAAGTTCCCAGTTTCTGGTATCCTCAACCAACCTTCTACAAGTATTGACATTATGAGATTGCCATGGACTGGCTGAATGCAGAGGAATGATGGGAGGCACCAGCTGGAGAACCCCCAAAGGAAGAAGGCTCAGAAGCAGGGGGATTGGTGGTGGGGTGATGATGATGAGTGGTCAAAGGGAGAAGGAGCAAACTGGAAGAGGGAGGTGTCAGAAATGGAAGAGGTAACAGGGTTAAGTGAGCAGGAAGAGACTGTGGCAGACAACAGTCCAAAATCAGAAGCAGCAGCAGAGGGTGGTCAAGAGGCAGAGTGAAGGCAGGTTGCTGAAGAAGCCAGGGAAGCTCTCCCTCCTCTTGTGACAAGCTCCTCTCCCCCTGGTCTCCCAGAACATGCAGAGAAATGAAGAGGGCGGAACAAAGAGGCCAGGCGAAGGAGCCTTAGGCAGCTGGCGAAGAAACCAGGAGAAGTGGGAAGGTGGGGACCTTCAGTCCTTGCAACTGTCTCATTGGGGCAAGACCTACTGAGTAGAGTTGGTGGGATCACTAGGTCTGCACTGTTTTGGTTCCTCTTAATAAAGAGTTAACCTCACTAAATTTTACTGCTAACCTGCCCCTGACTGGTTCCTGACAGTGATACTCCAATTGGCTAATTATTATTGGACAACATCAAAGGCTCTTCCCTTTCTCTCATCTTCCTTGTAGCCCCTAGCACCACCCCCAGCTGCTCTAGGGTTCAACCATCAACTTTGATTCATTCAGCTGAAGAACTCCACAGAGCAAAAAATGGAGAACATAAGGGTGAGATCCAGTATCGCATGAGCAGGTGTCTGTTTGTGCTGTGTGGCATCTCCACCTCTCCTCCATTCCCATAAAATCTAGAGACCCCCCCACAGAGCAGATATGGGGGGAGGGGCATGGAAGGCTGGAGGACAGAGAAGAGAAACCAGAAGTTTTGTTGTGCAAGGATGTTGCCATATGCATATAGGTTGTGTATAGTGTTCCCTAGTTATTTATCTGAAGAGGACTACAGAGCAAACACTGCTGTATTCAAATCTTCTTATAGACTGTTAAATCCTAACTCCCTCCAAGGGTGATCACAAATTCTCCATTGATTGCAAAGCATGTGCTTTTTATTTTCCTTAAATTGTTAGGATAAACCAACACCACAGTAGAGATTGTTGCTAATTTGGATTCAAAGATCTGCCATTTTCCTTCACAAATCAGATTTGAGAGTTTTATGCCTCAATGAAAATAAATTAATACCATCAGCTGACAACCAATTGGGGCACAGCAGAGCACTTTAGTAAAATAGGATGTGCAGCCTGGCATTTATGAACTAAGTAAAATGGAAAAAGCAGCCAATTTCCATAGCTGCTCTCAACAGGTGTGTAGTTGTGTAGGTGTCATTCTGCATATACATGTTAATGAATAAATTCTTACTTTGAAAAGTGTGGAATTGAAACACAGAATACACAGAGTTAAAGTACGCAGTAATCTATATAAAACCTGAAATGGCCATTTGGTGGGTGTGTTTCTAAAAAAAGAAGCTGCTGGTTAAAGAGTTGGCAAAACTGGATGTATACTAGTGATATCTATATTTCAGAAAACTAATTTGAACTAGTGACACATCTAAATGAACATTAAGCACAATGATCCCCCTGTTGAGACTGCTCAGGCATTGCATGAAGCAACTCAATAAGTAGCCACTAACACCACTGTGGTATTATGTGACAGAATTTTTTAAAAACCCTATTACCCTAGCAACCAGTGTCTGTGTGAGAGGAAAGAATGGAGGGAGGAGGTGGAGGAAGGGCTAAATGTAAAAATCGTTTACAGTGGGTCTTGTCTTTGAGATAATGAAATCACATGACTCAGCAACACTAATGTTCATGCAGATACACTCCACCCCACCCGCCACCACTCTTTAGGGCTCCATGACAACCCCATTTCCTAAAATTAGCACCCTCTTTCCAAGCTACAAACCACCCATAGTAATGACCTGCTTCCTATACCACTTATGCATGACTATGGCCTGCAGACTTTTCCCCTAACAGTTGATGGTTTGAATGAGATCTAAGTCAGAAAAAGCTGAAGATAATAATGTAAATAATATAACACAGTCGCTTCTTTGAAGTGTTTTGGGAAGGTGGGATGCAGAAGAAGAGAAAGAGCATGTCTTTTTCCACAGTAATAAATATAAAGTGTTACTTCAGATAGGAATGCTGAATAAAAGAGTAAGAATTTAATCGCCAGGAAGGAAGGAAGGAAGGAAGGAAGGAAGGAAGGAAGGAAGAGTGCTAGAAAAAACATGTCAATCATCACTTTAATTATTGCCAATCATTCCTTACTTTCTTAATTTGTGATTTCTTACTTGACCAAAAAGAAAGCTTTTGTTTGTAATTACATCTATGCTATCCATGACAGGCACAAGACTTTTTCAACTTTTCCTTGAAATTGCCCTCAAGCCAAGTTTATATATCTCTGCTTTGTCAAGGAATTTAAAACTTAACAGTTCCCACACATATATGAAATGAAGCAAGAGACTCAAACAAAATACAAATTGCCACTGTGGCATATATTCCATAAAAAAACCTAGAAAAATCATAGTTAACTCAAATAGCATTTGAGGTATATACTGAGCCGTGCTGCTTCATTCAGATGTAGCCAAACATCACTGCGTTCATTCCTTGTTCTTAGATTAATTTCACTTTGCTTCTCCCTACCTCTTCAGAAGGTATTCCTTCCTTTTCACCTTCCAGAAGGAGTTGCTTGCTTAGCTTTTGTTGCTAAGACAAGCAGTCCCTGTTGTCTTTGTGGAGCCTGTGAAAAATAGGGTTCTAATATATGTTTCTCACACACACCCCAGGAGATCTGGAATTAGTCCAGGAAAGTGACAAAGCTGATAACATCAAGAATGCTGCAAACGGGTGAAATGGCTCCCCCTCACCCAAAATACTTCTGAAAACTTTAAATATATCCGAACAGTTTGGTACGACTTGATAAATATTCTCCCTCCCCCCCTGCTCCCCGCCCCCCCCAGTTTTATACTAAGAGTCCTTTAGCAAAAAGGAGAAAAACAACTTTTCCTACCAAAAACTGCCCCCTCTGTACTGTAAATAGTCCCTCTTCAAATATTAGGTAGCTTTACTGGGGGGGGGGGGGAGGAAAGACAATGCAGCGTGTCCTCAGTATCATTAACCAACTTCCCTTCCTCCTGAAGGAGTCCCTTCAATAAGGCAATTACAAGAGCATCACAGAACAGGAGAACAAGGGGAAAAATAATCTTACCAGCTTCTCTTACAGTAGGGAGCTGAAAAGAAAACCAACAGCCCCCAGCTGCTGTATCACATGCAATTCGCCTCAATGGAAAGAACTCTGAAAGGCTAGTCTTCTAGTTTAGTTTCTTCTCAGCTCTCCTCTCTCTCTCTCTCCTCACAAAGCCATTCTCCTATTCCCTAATCCTCTCACAGGAAAAAGCAGCACAAACCAAACGACTTCAGCAGAATGAGGTGGGGTTGGGGGGGAAAGAGAGTGTTGAGAGTGAAAGGGGGAAGGGAGAGATTCTGCTGGCATTCAAGCATCGCAGTATGTTAATCCTCAGAGCGGGGATGCAAACAAAGTCGCCTACACACATTTGGGCGCCCAGATCCACATTCCATACCAATAATGCTTCATGACAAGGCATAGAAACCCAATTCATCAACCTCTCAGCTACTGTTTCAAAGACACGCCCCGTGAAACTTCTTGAACTTCTGCTAATGGGCTTCATTATTCCACACACACACACACACAAAATTAGACATTAATTCCCGATTAGCGGCTTTCTAAAGTTGATAATGAGCCTAAATGAGCTGGCTGCAATTCTGTCTGTGCCTCCCTTTCCATCTCCACAACAGGGGCTGAAAGTTTTGTAAAAGTATACGTTTGTACTTCAAAAGTAATATATTTGCAAGACGTATATTTTCCCCCCAGTAAGGGTTTGAGGTAAAGTGAAGCATTTTATTTCAAACTTCAGTGGACACAATATCTTCAGATTTTGGTAAACTGTAAAGGCCAAATGAGCTGACGTGGAAAAGATAAATATATCCAAGAATGTACACAAGTTTATTTGCACAGGAGCATTTCCTTTCCATAATGGGAAGAAAGATAAATCAAAGATCTGAAAAAGCAGATGGCACCATTCCACCTCATAAAGGACGGTGGTTAGCCTTCAAGTAATAATTTATGAAGACCCCTCCCCCCCCTTCTTGGTCCTGCACTCTGCAGCAGGCCATTTGAGCTTTTCAAGCAAAATAAATAGACTTCAAACCACCAGCTTCAAACACACTAACATTTACGAGTGCTGTTTCAACCTGACACAAGCCACTTTGTTCGCCTGTGACCCTGTACCAAAACGTGTTTTTTGATGGATGAGGTTCCCTCCCTTCATAATATAGGTTGTGACTTCATAACTATGTGCCAACATTATTGTTCGTCCCAAGCTAAAACAAAAACAAAACGATCCATAAAGCTGTTTTAAGCATGAAAATGAAGCAAGCAGATGGACGCTGAAAAGCTAGAGGGCCAGAGTGATAGGAATGCACTCTTCCTTCCTTTCTTCCTTCCTTTCTCTCTCTCTCTCTCAAACCAGTGTGGGAGGCGATAGCTAAAGAGATGTTACTAGGAGATGAGGTGATGTCATCAACCTCCAAACAAAGCTTAGTTCAGCTGAGAAAAACAAGAAGCTTCTGCAAGGCACATTTTGTTTTATGGGTACCAGGAAGAAGCATGTGGCTTTTTCTGAATTTGTCCTTATAACACAGTTTGTAAAAGTTTCGACATTAATTTTACAAAAAGCTGTAAACATGGAAATGCTCACATACAAATGAATAAGTTCATTACAAGGCTGTTTAATAATCTCAAACGAGCTATAGGTCTCCTGTACTATAATGCTTCAAGCATCAACTTTGTACTAAAACTAGCATGGAATATATTTCATAATGGAAAGCAGACAGTAACCACTAACACCAATATGCTCTTATTAAAGAAAGTGAGCTTGTGCCATTAAATGCTCCGTAGGATCATACCCCAGTCATAGGTAGATCTATGGTGGCACATAGATGGACTTTTACTAACATAGCTTACAAGAGGTATTTGTTGAGGACAATGCTCTCCTCCCTCTCCCTCCTCCTCCCCATTGATGTGGCTGCTCTGCTCTGAGAAAGTAAAGAGTAAGAGAGGGGACAACAAAAAAGGGAATAGCACAATGATCTCCACATGTCTTGTCATGTCCCTTTGAGAAGAAGTTCAGATTGGAGCAAGAGGGAAAGAGAAGAAAATAGGCGTCAACCATGATGAGGAGAAAGGGGTGTGAACTCAGGTAGGGTTGCATACTTGACAGCCCCCTAAAAAATAACCCACACTATACAGCACTATTCCATGTAAGCCAAACGGGGGGAATCTGTTCTGCAACGTTGCAAGTCAGTTGTGATCCCATTATGACCCATCAGCTGAGATGCAAAGAACTGCTTCATCTCACACAAGGAAATAGAATTAGTCTAGTGAAATATTTGGCTTTCCCCTCTTTTGAACAACTGACTCCTATATCATATTAGAATGTTAGGTTTTATTATGATCAAGAGGTCTATAATGTGAAATAAATACATATTGCAATGGCTTCTGAAAGTCCTGTTTCCTAAGCAGTTTCCCAAGTAGCGTGAGTGCATAAGGGGAAAACCTAAAACTTGATTGAACTTGTGGCTCTTTGGATTCTGGTATGGTTTCACTGATATGGTTTCAGCAAGCCTTCTAAAAAAAAATATCCAAATTGCTACCAGGCTAGGATTTGAATTGCTTTGAATTATGTGCTGTTGTTAGTTTAAACTGTTCTTATGTTTGCAATTGTTTTTCAAATAGTGTTTATATTTGCAACTGGGATGCCTCAATGGGAAGTGATTCATATATGAAAATAACAACTAGCTCTAAGATAGCTGAAAGGTTCTCAGGATAGGACACATTAAGTTTTCCCTTTCTGCCCAGTAAACATCCCATGCACCACAACACATTTGCATGCTGTTCAGTAGGGAACACAACCATGCCACTCAAAAAATGGACATCTATAAGATTGCCTTACTCACCTTTTATATTTTCACTCTTTCCACCTAGCAGAATGAAAGCCCCAACCATGCTACTGGTGAGAACACAATTCTCAGGTAGAATTTGTGATTAGGTTGCCCTCTGTGCTGCAAACTACTTGTCTTATAAGCAGTCAAGATGACACTTCTGCAGGCACTGTGGCATATTGGTAATAGGTAACTACTTACCTTGGAGCTCTGGCACTGGGGTACACCCTGCAAGACATGGGGCCTTTCAAACAGAAAGAACTTGTTTGGCACCAGCTTGGCTGCCGGAGTTGCTGGAAGGCAGCGTACAAGGCACCACCCAACCATCTTAGGGTCGCCAACTCCAAATTTATGTAGCGTTCACTCCTTAGCCTTTTCCCAAAGATACCCCACAAGGCAGCAGAAGTTTAGGATCAGAGTTTTCTTTCTCGTAGATGGGCTACCTTTCCAGATTGACAAGCCCTGTCTGCCCCTCATTTCCCTCTACAACACATGCAGAAACAGTGGTTATGGACCACTGAAGCCACTGTTGGTCTCATCCACTCAATCTGCCAGAACTTGCCTTCGCATGCAGGGGAAGTCCTAACTCATTGAGGGTTTGAGACCCATCAGCTACCCTCACCTGGTTTAGCCAGCAGGGTGGGGACCAAAGGTGGACAAACTACCCCAGAAGGAACACGACATGTCCTTCCTATCACTCCTCCCCTAACACCCCTATGCAGCACATAGAAATAACTGCTAGCCTGATATCTGCAGTGCCACCACTGCAAATGGTCAGAGGGAGTGTTGCAGTTTTTGGCCCAGTGGGAATAAGTGACACAAAGAGCCAAAAAGATCCAGGGGCAAACGGAGTACACTTTACTGCTAGAAAAAACTATGCACTGCCATGCACTTTGTATGCAAATATCCCTGGAGCTGTGTTACCTGAGATTCCGTTCTGGGTACAACACACTGGTTCAAGCAATTAAATTCAAGGTGAGGCTTGAATTTCGCTCATAGGTAAAAACTTTTATAATTGAATAGTAACAGCATCAGCAACAATAATTGTTATTTTCCAGGGCCATATAAACCAGGAGCAAAACTGAAATCTGTATAAACTGCACACAAACTGGAATCTAAATAAGACAAAGGTGGATAGAAACTTGGGGGATGTGGCAATTGGCATGAGCATATGGTAGACAAGTCAGCTACTTAACAGCTGACAGAAACTGATAGAAAGGAACTGAATCTGGCATTTGCCATAGAGGAATGAACCTGCTTCATTCAGACAATGGCTTTAACAAAGAGCAGCCAGTCACTATGTGCTATGCTTGCCTTATGAAAGGGGTACCAACATGTAAAATTTTAAATTATCTTGGCAACATTATATTGCACTAATGGGTAGCAAATACATATGGAATCAGTCTTTGTTCATGGATAAACAAAGAAAGAGAGGATCCCAACAAGTCAACAATCAAAATCAGTTGGTTATCAACATGTTTGTCCTGTATTTCCCCAAAGGGAAATTAAATTCTCCTTTCTAGAGAGAGTCAGCCAGTTAACTCTAAGAGTCAGGCTTTGGAAGTATGAAGCATGCTGTAATATATACTGGTTCATGTCAGTAAACTGGCAGGGGGGAAGAGTGACAGATTTGTTGGGGGGGGGCAGGGAAGCTGGCACACATAAGGTGACTACGGATATATTTTTTTCTTATTCGCTTGCTCCCAATTAAGCCTCCTTTGATCCATACCCTGTATGTCTTTAACACCTGATTTGCATAGCACTGACTCCTTTCTGTGTTTCTTGGATTCACAAGAAAGAACAAAGCTAAAACACCCTGGTAATAAACCCTAAATTTTTAATAGCAGTTGTAAGTGTTTGCCAAATGCCCTCCTTTGGTAAGTAGAGCAGAGTAGGTCCTTTGCACTGGAAAGGATTCCAAAAAACCTCAACATTAAAGAATACCAAACTCTTTGAGGGCTGCCAGTGGAACTGATTTGTTTAGCCCAGAATACTGGCTTGTTTTATTGTTCTGCTGCTTGAAATAAATTTTCTGTAATTACAGAGCCTAGGTGGAAGCAACAACCAGCATAATGCTAGCAATTTACAGCACTCTTCTTGATTGTTTAAGTTAAATATTGTGCATTCCAGGGAGGGGGAAATGCGTAAATTAAACAGAATAATACCAAATATTATCTGCCAAAGGCTATATAGGAGAAACACACTATTACGACAAACAAAGCTTTGCTGGTTTTAAAATCTTACTTAGTGTTTCCCCGTCTCAATGAAAAAAAGAGAGGGATCCTCTTATGTATTACCGTGCTTCTGCAGGACAAGTGAATCTCTCACACAGCTGAACCTACAACTCTAAAGAGGCTCCAGCAATATGGTGGGTTGCTGGTC